ATCTGCATGGTTAAACTTGGGCAGAAACACTGTTTTATACAACATTCTGGCTCTGACAAAGTTCTGCTTGCAGGATGAAGTGCCAGAAGGACTTTGCAGCGATGCTTTCCGGAGCCACAGCTCGGGAAGCAGCGGGTGCCTGCAGGGAGGCAGCTCTCATCCGAGATCAGGAGAAAGCAGGGCACCTCCAGCACCGCTGGAAGGTGAATCAGTCCTTCAGGGGGTTTCTTTCTCCATTGGTTCGCTGAAGGGAATGCAGCTCACCCCCCAGCTAACGCTAACACCTCCAGCGTCTCTCATTCAAGCGGGAGCTCCCCCTGCAAACGGGCCAGGTGTGCAACAGGACTTCAGGGCAGCAAATGCCATGTGTCTGTACAAGCAGCCACTTTACTCACCTCTGGGATCTCTTTTTTCGATTTACAGAACACCAGCTCCTCTCCCGAGCTCTGGGGCTGCTTTTATAGGAGCTCAGCGATGTAGAAAGACCTGGACACGACAGCCCTGCAGCAGCCAGGGCTGCTTTCATGGACAAGGTGCCACCCTGGGAATGGCGGGACCAGCTGTCACGGTCACTCAGTGGACTCGTGATGGTTCGTTTGCTGTGATCTCGAAGTGCAAAATTAAGGCAACCATGCCAAAGGGGTTTGCTATGGCGTCCCTATGGTCCCAGGTCCAGGCAGCGTCCTGCCGGTCCTGATGATCGTCATGACTCTCGGTGGGGGAAGCTTCCAAAGTTTGGGTGCTGAGGAGCCCCTTTTCATGCCCAGTAGCACCCCTTGCTCCTCCTCCATATCTCTGCCTCTTCTGAGCTCCATCGATGCCGATCGATCCTTCTTGATAACGGTTCTCAGGCTCGTCCCTGGCACCGGAGAACGGCACGGCACTCTTTCGCCAAAACAGAGCCCTCTTGCCTCTGCAAGGCTCCCTACTTCGGCTGTTATCGCCCCCCACCAGGTTTCTAGAAGGGAGAAGTAGACAGCATCTCTATCCTTTGGCCATTTCCTGCCAGATGCAGCTCTCGTCCTTGCTCTGCCCAGGGCACAATGACCTTACAAGCCTGGCATTCCATTCCCAGGATCAGCAACTGCTTCTCAGGCAGGCCGCTGCAGGCTCATGTCAAGACGTTAGCCTAACTGTCGGAGTCCATATTCCTGATGACAAAGTTGAGACAATGCTGTTTTCGGACCAACTCTTACACCTGCCTCCTCCCCACAGTTTCAGTCCATCACCTTGCAGGATGGCCTTGAAGGGCGACAGCCTTGCAGTTAGTGTGGTAGCTTATAAAGCATTGCTTTACTGCGGTAGAAAGCAACTCTCCTCCGCAGCCATTAGAACAGCCCAGAGGTCACATACAACTGCTGCTCCCTGTGAGCTCTGTATGGACAGTGTCCTCCCCTTTGCACCATCCCCCTGCAACCAGCTCAGGTCGTGCCTAGAGCTGGGTGAGGGCTTGAACATATTTCCACTTGAAACAGTGGCTGCACGATGCCTCTCCACAGCACACCCTTCCCAGCTCCTCCGCAGGGCAGAGCGGAGTGGGTCCAGTGTGGCAACTGGGATTGCTCTGTCCTCACTCAGAGCTCACCCATAAGCCATCTGTAGATATTTCAGCTTTCCAAACCAAAGGTCCCAGTCAGCACGCTGCAGCCCAGTGGGTCCGCTACCCTTGGTCTGGGGTCGCTGCCCATCACCTACTTCTCCCCAGAGTGACTGTCTGCTCACATCTGCCACCAGCGTGTTAGCAGTGTGCTCCCTACCCTGGTTCTGTCAGCACAGATCCAAAGGAGCTTTTAATAGCAGCTTGTTTGTTAAGCCTGGGATATTTTGACAGATCTGTTGCAGAAGATGCAAGGAGCAAGCAGGCAGGAGCCATCACCCCTTCGCAGCTCCTGCCCACGCCGGGGCTGACACTCCCTAGGAGCCCTTGCCTTCAGTCCTGCTTCGCCACCACACTGAGATACAGCGGTTCTGCAACACGCCCCGTCACCCACTCATGGACTCAGCCATAGACAAACCTGGGTTTCTTGCATGGGAAATAAGTCCTTTTCTCCAAGGCTGTCCCATTTGTAGAGCCAGAGAGGTCACAGGCTAGCTGGGAAGCCAGGGTGGCTCAGCCTGGTGGCCATGCCATCGGTGGCAGAAGGAAATGGGGATGAGGGAAGGTGCCGCAGGTACCCGTGGGTGCACAGGAGTGGAGCAAAATGAGCACTGCTCTTTCAGTTACATCTGGGCAAGGCGCAGGCAAAGGACGGTGACGTTGGCACGTCCAGGTCCTCAGGAACACGGGGCTGCTCCCTGAGGAGCAGGGCAGGGTTTTGCACCCACCAACTCCATCCTACAGGGCTCAACCCATCGCCTCCATCAGAAGGTTAGGCCACAGCACAAGACGCCTTCCCAACAATGAGCTGACTCGCTATCCAACTCCGCTTTCTTCTCCCCAGTTTTATTGCCCGGCGCCTATGACCATACCCTCTCCCACTTCAGGAGTGGGAATGTTAAAAAAATGCAAAAGTACAGAAAAGTAATGAAGAATGGAAATGGCACACCTACTCAGAGGTAGCTCGGAGGTGACATGTGCCAGCTGCACCCCCAGCTCTCTAACCTTCCTCATGCTGACTTCTCAGCTTCTTAATCGCTTCTATTTCACCTCCCCCTCCACTTCCCCCATAGAAACAAAAGATGATTCATACACCGAAATAATCACCTGGGACCTCCAAAAGCCCATGAATTCCCTCACTTTGGCCTAGGATGCTTGATAAGGAATTTTCCCAGTTTGGCATCTGAGTTTGACTCTGTCCCCTCCTCCCCTTTATACTGGTCCCATAGCACAATGCGGGCTGAGCAAGGGCAGAACCACACACTGTATTTAAGACTTAAATTAATTGACCACAAAACAAACGGAATTTAAACTTGAGGCATCTGAAAAATCCAGCTACGCAGTGGAAGCACCTGTGGCCCCGGGGATACCACCCCTGCCCTCTCCAGAGGGTGAAGAAGTTGATTTCCCACCAAGCAGGGAAGTGCCTTTATCACAACTGGTGTAACCAGCACCACATCGGAAAGAGCAACTGTTCAGAACAGAGACCTGCAGCAATGGATTTTTCCCTTACAGGAGGAAAGGAGTGAAGTTGTGAGCTGAAAGCTCAATTCCTGCACTCCCAACAGCAAAGAATTCACGTCCACACGTGGTGCACGGCCGTCCTCCACAGGACCTCTGACACCAGTTTGTTAATGCCACTGGCTGAACACCCGCCAGCCCTGCCTGCTCACTGCCGTCAGGGTGCATAACTACCGTCCAACAGTGCTGTGTTTGCAAACACCTCCGCCATTTGTGTGTCTCTCGCAAAATAAGAAAATATTTCTAAGGCAGACAGTGAAGGAGTTTTCCTCCTTCCAAACTGCCCAGATCCAAAGCCAGAAGTGCAGAAAGCCAAACTACAAGGTTGGGCCTCTCGAAGACCTGGTGGCCCCATTGCAGTCTCCAGCCCAAGTGCAGAGCAAAGGCACCATCACCGCATGAAGAGGAGGATGATGAAACGCTCGTTACCCACCCCAACTTTGTGATCTGTCACTTACAGGTGGGCAGCTGACTACAAAACCCAAAGCCATACCCTGCCAAGTATCTGCCAGCACAGGCAGGGGTGATACAAGTCATAAACCTGTCAGCTCAGGTAATGCCAACAGCCACAACTTCACAACAGGGCCCTAGTTGGCTTCACTGCTGGGGCTCTCCTAAAAGATTACAGCAGCTCAGACTGAGAAACACAGGTTCACTGGAGCAAAGAGCTGGAAGCAACTGTTAAACCTTTAAAGCAAGGAAGAAATAAATGAAAGCCATTTCCAGGACATTATCACAGGTCTGCTCTTTCAAAGAGAGGCTACAAATGCACACAAAACCACAGACACACAGCAGGGCTTGGCAGACACTCGTAACGCACTGCCCAGGCAGGCATCACTGTCCACCACCAAAGCGCTGCGGTTCCCAACAGGTGCAAAACACGCACATGAAGACAAGTTAGGGTGCACAAAAGGCCTTCTCAGGAACAGGGACATGACTTTGGGGAGATTCCTCACAAAACAAGACAAGGTCCTTGCCTTCCACCCACATACCATGCAAGTATATACTGCTTCTTGCAATAGATGCTGGAAACTGGAGCAGCATTCACTAGCAGAGATGCAACTCAACCAGCCAGGTTTCCTAAGCATCTCCCTTCTCTCTGCCATGCCAAGGGATCAGGAAGATCATACCAATTTCACTACCTGGCAGAGCGGCAACCCCAAAGGCTGCTCCAGGTCTTCTCTGAGAAATGTTTCTACTCCTCTGCAAAGAAATAAGCTCTGCCTCCCCCAAGCTTACAGGTTTTCCCCCTGTGCTGTGCTGAGTCCAACGGGAATTGACTTTTACACCTTTTTTTTCCCCTCCCTTCAGATCTTGAAGCAAAAGCAAAGCACTTTGATCAACTTTGAAATGGTGCAATTAAACCAATTTCTGAACAATTTGCAGTTCTCTTCTATAGGGAGCATTAAGCAAAGCCACACTTTTCAGCATTTTGAACAGGGAAAAAATTTGTATATCCACGTAGCTCTCAATCCATCCCCCCAAGCGGGGGAAGCTGAAGAGATTTACACTGACATGTAAATCCCTGCGACAGACTTCTATAAAACCACTAAAAGAGGCACGCCCAGAAGGCAAAGAAGAGTTTCACACCTTCTGTAAGTAGAAAGTGTGAAAAGGAAAGAGATGAAAGCTGCCTCCCTTTCCCTGAATCTCGGTCATAACTCCTGCTCTATCCTGGCATCGTGCGCCCACTCCTGATGTCAGTCTCGGTAACACTGGTGTCACACAGTGCTCTGAGGATCCCAGAGCTACATCAGAGATGGCAACCATGTCAAGGGTAGCCCAGTCCATGGATGTCAACACAGATGCCTCTGCACACCACAGCACTACGTGGACCTCACACATAGCCAGACAAAGAAATTGTCAGACACAAGTGCCATACCTTCCTCCAAGTCATTCCTCAGAGAAGCCTCCAGCAGAGCAACACTGGCTTCAAAAGACACTTTCTTCCGGTTAACAGCATTTCTTTTCTTTTCATGCTTCCGCTTCTTGTGCTGCATCTCCTTCTCATACTGCGCCCATTTCTTCAGCTGCTGGGCCCTCCGCTTCTGGGCTGCCCGCAGCCTCTCCAGCGTGGGCACCTTATCCAGCAGCTGCAGCTCTGTCAGGAGGTCCACGTGGGCATCCATCACTGCTGCTGAGGGAGAGGGGGTGAAGGATGTCCCAGCGGGAAACGATGTCCCACCACAAGTCCTCTGGATCGCAGCTGCCTGATGCTATACCAGCATCTTAAGGCCGAGGTGGGAAGCGCCCATCGCAGTGTCCGATGAGAATATGGTGGAAACCTGAAATGAGGAGGAAAGCATGAGGGATCCAGTCTCATCATCCCGCACAGACAAGCAACTAAGACCAGCCCATTGGAAAATGTGACAGGCAACACCTACCGTCTCAAAAGGCAGCTCAGTTGCACTGTAATTGCTTGGTTGTTCTCACTTGGCCTTTGTGATTCCACCCTTCACCCACTCCAAACACCCAAGCAAAACCCTCTTAATTAAACACTAGTTTTAGTGTGCAGTTAATTCATACGTATAGTTCAAGGTAGTGCTCTCTTATAAGCAGAAGAAAGTCTTAATAAGCAAAGATCTTCCATAGCATTTGATATCATTCCTCAGACAAGTCAGGAGAGATTCAAATACTAAGACATGTTCTTCCCTCCAGCTGGCCCCTTCCAGCGCTACCATCGCCCCTTGTTACAGGTGTCCCCAACATGCAGCCAGGACTGCACTGCACTGATGCATGCCAGCAACCATCTCCCTGAAGCATTTTGGTCTCAGCAGCAAAACACAGGGCAGAGGGGACCGAGACTAGCGGCAGAGCCCAGGGTACCCACAGACACCAGACGAGGCCAGCCCAGGACAAATAACCCAGAAGTCAGAGGCCAGAGATGCATGGGCCTACCCAGGCGGTGCCCCGAGGCCAGGCAGGTTTTCCCAGAGGAGCTCTACCCACCAGGAGCATCATCCGTGCTCTTCTACTTCATCCATCGACCCCTCCTCACCCCAGCCCTAGGCCAAGGGCAGACGGACAGGATGCAGCTCCCAGGAAGACATTACTGCCTCAGCTACTGAAAAACATGTGGGTTTGCGTTCATTTCTCTCTTTCTTCAGGTTTTTTTTTTTTTTTCTACACCACACACTAGCTCATTCTGGCTTTGCTGTATGGGCTCCACAGCAACAAGAGCAGTTAAATCACAACCCCAGACTCTTGATGTGACCATGACATTAGAGACCCCTAAGCAGCGGTACCCACAGAGCAATCAACCAGGGGGACCCACAGGCAGTCACCCAGTCATCTGCTGCACAGGAGGAAACATCCCAGATTTAAGGAGCAGTCCAACACAGAAAGATGCTTTTGAAATAAAGCCAATGTCACCTCCAAATTGAATGAGTCCTTTCCAAACAGACCCGTGCAAAGCGCATCAAATGGCAAGATGAGCGTGCCAAACGGAGGTAAGCTGCAAACAACCACGTAGGAGATGAGAGCTCTTATGGTTCAGCCAGCTTGGGGAGGAAAAAAAAAGTTGATGGGGGGGGGCGGGGGGAGACCGTGGAGAGCTTAAGTATTCACAAGCACCTGAGAAAGCCCCAACAGGGCAGCTGAAGCCATTCCTTGCTCAGGTCTCTTGCTCCAAAAGAGAGGAAGCAACAGTCTCATAAGCAATGGATGCAAAGCATCTATGGGAAAAACAGCAGTAGAAGAGAGGTAGCTAGACCCAGGTGAGAGACATGGTAAGGATACCAAACCTTTCCCCATCCAGCCAAGCCAGGAAAAGCCACGGTTCATCCCTCTTCAGAGCATAAAGCAGCCCAATCAGGGAGGCATTACCCTGAGGAGCTGTAGGGAACTGTCCATGCCATGCAGCCGATCCACCACATCCCAGTGAATTTCACAAGGTTGAGACATCCACTCCTTCCAAACATCGCTACAGACCTTCCGCAGGGGTTTGACCTTACCTATAAATATCTCGGCAGACTGACAGCAAGGCACGCCGTTTCCTCTGCGAGATAATTGGTTCGAGAAACGAAAACAAACTCAGCCAGAGCATACAGGCAAGTCCTGGGCAGTTGCTTTATCCAGTAAATGGCCAACAGAAGGCCAAGGGCAGCTTCAGCAGCACCTTCAAACCTTATTTTGAGGGTTTCAGGACAGACCTGAGCAAAAAAAAAAAATCCTCTTCCATCTCATTAAAAAAAATGCTTTAGTTCCACATAGGGACAAAGCTAAATCCTTGCAAACCTTTTATGAGAGATACTACATAGAAATTCAAACACTTGCCTGAGATGGAAAATATCAATTCATGACTTTAACATGCCACTGGAAAGCGAGGGAAGTGTGCCACGGCTCCTCCATGGCACAACAGCCCTGCCCAGCTCTCCCTGGCCCCTGCCCACAGCCCCCAGAAATGCTGCCAAAAAGGGCTGCGTAAATGCAGCCCATTTTCCAAAGAAGCTTTTATTTTGAGGCAGAGGCATTTTCCAAGCACACGTGCTTGGCGGGAAAGCTCTTCACCACCTCTCGTGAACT